TGCAATCACAAATGATTTCCCGGCCTGGTTTTCCTAGTTGTTAGTGTGTTCTCACTACAGGATCCCGCCCGCTAACCACGCTTTGTTGCTTTGATTCGTTGAGGTTAGGTTTTCTCTGAAGTCTATTCTGTCCTTTCATGAAATGAGTTAGGAAACTTGATCAAAATTGCTAGAATTGTGTCTAAAGTGACTATAAGGCACAGACGTGTTGACCATGCCTTCATTCCTCTCTCCTCCTCCCCAGTCGCTCTTGTCGTGCATGCATTTATTTAGTGCTCTTTAGGAAAATTACCCCCACTCTTCCCTTGTATTTGCTTTGCAGGTCAGTAACTTACATGAATATTATAGAATTAGCTTGGACAAATGCTATATTACTTTTGAGAATCTCAGAAACTTTCCTTCCACTTTTCTGCTTCAAGAAAGAAAAATTAAGGAAGCTGAACTTTGAATTCAAGCTATTATTTTTATTAGCTATGTCATCATGGGCTTTTTTTTTTTTTTTTGAGACAGAGTCTATCTTTGTCACCCTGGATAGAGTGCTGTGGCATCATACCTCATAGCAACCTCAAACTCTCAGGCTCAAGTGATCCTCTTGCCTCCGCCTTCCAAGTAGCTGGGACTACAGGCACCTAACACAACAGCCGGCTGTTTTTAGAGACAGGTTCTCTCTCTTGCTCAGTCTGGTCTTGAACTCCTGAGCTCAAGCAGTCCACCTGCCTCGGCCTCCCAGAGTGCTGGGATTATTGGCAAGAGCCATGCCTGGCCTCATCATGGGATTTTTCTGACTAGTATTATCTTGAATGTACTTTTATTCATATTCACATTTTGAAAATTTTATTACTGGGTAAAATTTGTCTTGTATATACATGCTGAATAAACATGTTAAATGAATGAATGAAAGGCCAACTATATTTAGCCTAGCTTTTTTCCAGTTAACGAGGAAACATACCGAAGACTGGTATCAATTATAGAATGTTCAAGGGAAGACAAGACAAGACCCCTGTATTACTGAAGTTTTAGTATTCCTTTACATAAAATTTAAATTTGATTCTTAGAATTAATGAGAAACCAAGGCAGAGGTTCTTAGTCATTAACTAATACAGTTTCATCTTTGCAGTAAGTGGATATTTTGGAAGGCATTGTTCTTATACTTAGTGTTATATATGGATGGATATGGATGTGTGTATGTTATGCCTATTTTAAAAACTTAGTCTTAGAAAAAAGTCTTTATGTTAATAAAAATTTAGTAAATTAAACACATAATACTGCTACTGAATCTATGGAACTTCCCTGCACCCACAAAAGCCCTCTCACTTTTACAAATCTTTTCTTGTTTTTAAAATTTTAATGGTGGTTTATTTTGTTATTTTTTATAACTTATATGCTTAAGACAACAAAAAATATTGGAAATTTTCATTTCTACCATCAACTTTGCAGAAATTCTCATCCAATCTTCCTCTTCCATGGCTGTCTGTGTTCAGGGAACAAAGTCGTGATGCCCCTTTGAAGTTGCTTAGAGAGCAACAATGTGATGTGTGCCTAACAAGTATTTTTTAAAATATATAAATTATGTTTTTATATAGCTGACTTTTTATAGTTCATATTGGAAACAAAGTTGGTAGCTATCTGTTACTTGATAGACATATTTTTTAAATTTGCCATGTTATTATTTAGAAATCTGACCCCTTCTGATGAGTATGTTAATATTTAAAGAGCACCAGAAGTTGGAGTTATTTGGCTTTTCTTTAAGAATAAAATTTGTTTTATTTATTCATCCTAACTGCATATACATAGACATAGGTGTATAGATAAATATATGTGTGTGTTTGAGTGTACACACGCATACACAGATTGATTTAGGTTTTAGGGACCCTTTTGAGAAATATATCTAAGGTGGGTTTAAAAAATATATATATATTCTTTTAACCAGAGGAATTTTATTTTTTCTTCCAGAAGACTATATTGGCAATATGTTCTTGACTTGGGCCACTGGAAATTATTAGTATTATTTACTAATTAGAACTGGACCTACCAGTCAAAATGCAAGTTTTGGATTAGAGCTAGTGGGGCTTTCTTGAAATCATATTCAAGGAACTCAGGACCATAGGGGTCAGAGTGTATTCCTAGTTCTAACCAGCTGGCACTGGAGACTTTGGGAGAATCATTTCATCTTTCTTCTGGAAAACAGATAATTATTCCTGTCCTTACCCTCAGTCCTTTTCACCCAGGCACTGCCCCCCTAGGGGACATGTGGAAATGTTTGGGTGTTTTTGTTTATCATAAGCCTTGGAAGCTACTTGCTTTTGGATCCAGGGTGAGCCCAGAGGTCACACAGGGTGAAGCATTGTCCTGCATAAACATCCAGAAAGTCCCTCTGGAGACAAACACTGACAGGACATGGCGAGGACCACACGCAGCAGAGCGCGGGAAACACTTGAGTGGCAGTTCCACGCGCCACGCAGAGACAAGACAATGTCTTGCTTTTCTACCTGGTTGATAAGCATTGTGTTTTTTCAGAAGGCATTTGGGATATGATATATCCTTTTAATTTATCTATTAATAACTATATAATATGTATTATATTTCATCTTAAAGGAAATTTGGATATTGTGGTCTGTCATTTTAAGGACATTGTTGACTATTTTCTATTACTATATCACATTATGTTTATGGTTTTGTTTATTTTTAGATGTAAAAAGAATATTTACAAAAGAATATAAGGCATATTAAACATCTCAAATGTGACAGATGGCAGTTTTGTTAGACAGCAGTGTGTGTGTCTGCTTCCTGCACTGAGGCCCGCTGTGAAGGCGCCTCCTCCTGTCCTCTGCGGCTCTGCTGCATCCGGTGTAGGGGCAGAAATGAATTGTGCTGTATTGTTTCCCTTTGACCCTGAACTCTGTTTTATATTAATAGTTTACTTCTTTCTTCTCTGTTTTTCTAAGAATATGGAGTG